TTCCGATCTTATTTTATTTATAATTTTTATAAACTAATTTAAATTTAATTAAATATTTCACAATTTTTTAATTTAGTGAATGAGGAACTTAAAAATATCTTTAACTATATTTTAATTAAATTATATTTTTTATAAATAAATAAATTAAAAGTATATTTTTTTTTATAAATAATTAAATTAAAAATATTTTTAAAATTTTATAAAGATAATTCTTTAGCGATGTTAAGTTAATATAATAAAAAAGTGATAATATAATACTTGAAATTCTAAGGGACAAAGTGTAATTTATTTTATATTTTAACATATGCAAGGTAAATAATATAATACTTACATCTCTTAAGAAAGGATAATATAATTTGCATTAGTAACATTAAGTTAAATAGACTAAATTGTATATTTTAATAAAAGAAGGAAGAGGAGTGTAATACTCTTGTCTCTTAGGGGAGGGTAACATAGTTTACCTTTTGTTTTAATCACTAAATTACCTTTTAACAACTTTTTAAAAAAATTATCAAGATAAAAATAATCTCATATTACAATTTAAAGTATACTACTGTAATCTAAAATATAATCGATATATTGAAATATATTTATTAATTATAAATTTAATTATAATATAAATTAATATATTAAAAATATTTAATTGTTATAAATTTAATTAAATAAAAACAAATATTTATCATATACAATGTATAGGAAAAAGTATTACAGTTAAATTTAAATATAAAATCATGCAATATTCACAAACGAAAATTTACCAAGCGAATTATAAAAACGTTTGCTTATTATTCTATATTTACACACACAATAGTGCATTCACATTCCTCAGTGTGCAACTTGGTATATGTGATTTCCTTCCCTGCCCTTATCATATACTAGTATCTCCTTATAATATTGAAGTAATCAATCAAGATATTTATGCATTGAGTGATCACTTGTCACTAATGAATTTCATAAGTAACTTTTATTGGATTGAAAAAAGTTTTTACCAAGTGGCACTTAACTTACTTTATGTTTGATTAACTGATTAAGACATCTCAACTAAGATGATATTAAATTTGGGTACTAGCCAATTAAATTTACCTTTCTCCCTCCTCCTCACACTAAATATTTTAAGACCTCTTCGATAAAGAAAATAGAAATTGCTAAAAAAAAAGCATGGACACAGAACTTTCCTTCCAAAGAGGGATATTCCAAAACTTTTACAAAATAAGATCAAAGAAAAAAAAATTGACTATGGTGGGTTTCTTATCAAAGGTCACTATTTACGTCACAACTATAGTTAATATACAGGAATAATGTTAATCGTACTTTTTCTATCATACTTTTTAACAGTTTATTTATTATTAGTTAAAATCAATTAAATTATAAGTTATTTAATGAGTTTCTCCTGATTTTTTTGATAAGGCTCATTAAGATTTATATTTTAAAATAAATTTTAATTTATAATAGATGGTTAGAAACAAAATTTTTGGTTGATTGTCCAAATTGCATGCTATTATTATCCATAAACTATATCGTTATGACGAAAAATATGGTAATGAATTCCACGATGTAGTATCTCATGCAGATTGGCAATAACATGAGTGGGAAAGAGAGAGTCAGGACAAATATTGTGTCACTTTCAGCAAGCTGTGGGTATCATATCTGTCCCAATAAAACAAGTGAATCCTCTTGTTCTTGTACATTTTAAAATAGAATCATAGTTCCTACTATCAAAGATACACCACAAAAATTAATATTGCAGGGTTCATAATAGACTACACAGTATAGAAAATAGCTGTCCACAAGGATAATACGGAAGTTGCTTTTTATATTTTATGACAGACAACCAAAATATCTTTCAATTTTATGTGGGGTGACGGAGTCACCTGGAGAGATCTATCGGTAACAGTGACTCATTACATGTAGTGGAAACCATTGTTGGACTTGGACCACAACAAAAACAAGTGCTGTTGTTTAATCAGGGTCCTATGTTAACGAAGCCATCATAAAAATATTAGCATATAATCTTAAGACAAATATTTATATAAATGTTTAGTATAGCTCATAAAAAAATGACATATTCATAAGTCGCTTTCAGATAACTTGAGAAATAAAACAACTTAATCTTATTCTCTTTAGAGATATATACCTCAGCAATTCTTTTGTCAAAATCTCATCAACTAGAGCTTAAAAATTCAAGGACTAATAATTTGAGACTATATACATAATTAAAGTCATTTTAAATTGATTTTTTTTAGAGGAAATTGATTTTTTTTTATATATACAAGACTTAATATATTTGTATTTTTATTTCTCAAATATAGTAATTATACAATTTTAATCTCAAATTTTAATTTTATAATTTTAATCTTTAAGTATTGTAGTTGTATAATTTAAAAGATTAAAGTCACTCAATTAAAAATTAAAAAAACAAAATCGTACACAATTCTTGGAAGACTAAAATTCTTTGATTAAAACTTTTATACAACTGTAATACTTAAAAATAAATGAAAAACATAATTAACCTATATAAAAAATAAATAAACTAATAGAACTCAAGTGTTCCTCCAAACAAAATAAAATAAACAATAACGAGTTCAATGATATACTCCCAAAATGTTCCAAATTCAACTCCTTTTCCTAGCTAGCTACTACCCAATTGCTTCCGTTCCGTCTTCAATATTTTGTACATTTGGAGCCGAAAAAGCTTAACAATTAAAACACAACAGATGCCGCAGCTCGCCAAGTTTCTACATGTCAAGAAGCCAAGACAATTCAATATAAGCCATAATGGACGCGATATTATTATACACATGATTCAACAGTAATTCGATTTCGCCATGTGTTCCGCGAAAACAAGGTAAAATAAAAATAAAATGTTCAACGCAAAGGCTATTTTACCAATTAGTTTCGTTTACACTTACAATGGCTTAATAATTACATTGTCTAGAATGAAAAATCAAGAGAACCTCAGTGATAATATCTACATTTATGGCGAAGACAGGAAAAAGAGTTGCGCATTTTTAGACCAGATAATAACATTATGTTAATCATGTTTCAGCAAGAGCCACCTGTAAGGAATAATATACTTTTCCCCAAGCGATTTAAGTATGCCTTTCGTATCAAAATTTCATTCTTTTTGCTGGTCCTTGATCAATTATGGGATCAGCAGTAGGAGCTTGTGTTTCTGCTGCTTCCTGAGTTTCGGTCCCTTTCTCAGTTTCTCCTGTTGGAGGCGGAACATACCCTTCTGGAAATGCTGGTGGAGGAGGAGCTGGTGGTAACTGCAGCACCAAGTTTATCCTCATTTCTCATCAATACTAAAGGATGAAAGCTTAAAAGTTGAGAGAAGAATGTGATACGATAATAGTAAAGGATGAAATCTTAAAAGTTGAGAGAAAATGTCATTAAAAGTTGAGCTGGTTGGCCACTCCTATTTGTTTAAATTTGTTTATTTGGGAAATAAGTGTTTTTTCAACTTACCTTGCGTTGCAAGGATGCAAGAATATGATCCACCCGCTTAACCTCCTTTATGTCGATTGTCTCCTTAACAGTCTTAGATTCCGGCAATGCCGTCTCATTTTCAGAATCAGCTGACCCAGCTAAAAGAACAAGTGAATAACAATTTAAATAATGTGCACAGAAGAATTAAATGTAACAGTTGTATGGTTAAAAACTTCCAAAAGCATGGCTTACAAGCAGGGAAGAACACAGGATATAAGGGGAATAAAATGGGTGTGAAAAATTAGATGGCAAGAGAATAGTAGCTGAGTTCCCTGTATGTTTTCAAGTTGCAACAGCGACATACTGACATTACACATACAAGCAGGGAAGAACACAGGATATAAGGGGAATAAAATGGGTGTGAAAAATTAGATGGCAAGAGAATAGTAGCTGAGTTCCCTGTATGTTTTCAAGTTGCAACAGCGACATACTGACATTACACACAGCGTAAATGATACTAGGAGTGGCCAAAAAAAAAAAAAAGACTTAATACCAATCACAGTGCAAACCAAACTGGACTAAACCAGAAATAACTACCCGAAGGGGTTTGGCCTAGTAGAAGCATGCTATGTCGGCAAGATATGAGAGTGCACAAGGATACTCCACAAGGAGGCCTTGACTTGATTCATGTTGCTCTAACCCCCAGGGCTGTAAAGTTCCTTTTCCACAATTTTTTGAATTAAAAAAAAATAACTGAGCCTATTATTATGTATTTAAAAAAAGCACTGGACTGAACTGCTTTTTAGAACTGGTTCTATAACCGGAACATTCAAAAGCCATGCGGGTTGATAGTTCATCTAACGAGGTCACCTGTTCTCCATGGGTTTTCCTGTACTCACTAGGCATCCAGATTGTCTCTCTTTAATTTTGCATCTGACTGTAGCCAGTAGGTTTGCTTTGTTTTGCTCAGTTAATGCATGGATATCTAACATCTTGCAGGTGTTAATTTTGGCTTCTAGTAGTTCTTTCCTAGATATGAGATTTCTGGGCTGTGTCTTTTACTTACGCTATGGCATTGGTTTCACATAATCATGAGCTGAATTTCTCTCAGTCTTTCTCTCTGAGTTCAGGTAGTTTCAAGCTCAATTTTGACATTAATGAAACTTGAAGGTCGCTGCTTCTCAGTTTGATCCACTAATTTCGTGCATTTATAGTTATAATGAAATTCCATTTTGTCCAATAGAATAGGAAAAAGAATGGCCTAGTGGTTTAGGATAAAATCTAAACAAAATGACAGAATTGGATGATGAAATATCTTATTTAAGTTAATTTTATGTGTTTGTACTAGCAATTGTTTCTATTTATTTTTTATATGCGTATTTTCACCATCACATTACTTTTGAACTAGGAACCTTAGGACTCTAGTGGCTTTTGTCTTCAATTCTTCATTACTGTTTAGCTGTGCAGGGAAAGGAATCTGTTCTTTTGGGCAAAGGGAAGAAATGAGTATAACATGCTTTAAATACAGCTTGACCTTCTGATGTTTAGCATATGATAATCTCTACATGATAATTAAAATCTATTGTGACTCGTTAATTTGAGTTTGGAAGCGGAGTGTATGAAGTAGCCACTGTATGAAGTATCATGTGTAAATGTATAAACTGTATCAGAAAGAACAACATGCAACCAGTTTAGCAGTTCAAAACCAGATCTGAACTGCTTTAAAACCGATTTGGGAGTTTAAAACAAGAGAAGTTAAACACCAATTCTGAACCAAACTTGTTCCAAACCGGTTTTAAAACTGCTTTCTGAAACAAACCAGTTCATTGGAATAGTAATTGGTTTGTGAACCATTAAAAAAGCAGTTCATTTCTATAAACCAAACCACAATATTGGTTTGGTTTGGTTCTTCAGCCTTAACTGAACCATGATCACAAACCTAATACTAAGATTTCTAGTAACTCGAACAAAAATTTAGCACATTTGACTATCCATTTTGAAAGGCTGTTCTTTTTAAAAGGACAAAAGGAAGGAGGCTAGAAAGACACGGCTTAATCAGAACAAATTATTACAGATGGAAAACTTTATAACAACATTTTTCTAACTCTGTCCAGTTTTTGAAACATTACTGTGAGCAACAATGTGTTACTGTTACCTTTCCACAGAAAAAAAACCCTACAATTTCTGCTTACCATATCCAATCTTCTCCAACTTTGAGGCAGCTGTAGTAAAAGCTTTTTGTATGTAATAAAGGGCCCTTCCCTGCAAGATCAACAACACAACTAGTATTAGACAAAACCTTCTCTCATGATAAAAAAAATTGACTAAAAGCAAAACTACTAAAAGTATAAACACGAGTCATAAAATTTTTTGATGTAGTGTTGCCTGAAATTCAAAAAGGTAACTCGATACACATTAATACTTCAAAATAGTTGGGACCTAATTTAACTTCTGTACAGAAAACAGTACGCTAACTTTCAGGACTGACGAGGCTTTTCTCTAATTTTCACAATGATGTAGGATAGGCAACCAGGAGTGCTCCTCTTGGGCAGCACACTCCTTTGATTAACACAAAACTAAGTTTTAAATTGCAGGCACAGTCTTGTCATGATTCTTGATATTGCAGGCAAATGCAGCCAATACAGCCGCAATAGCAATCATGGTGAGTAAAAAGTAAAGTTAATGTTGTGGTCAAAATCAAAGTTCCAAACCAATTTTTAAAATATTGACAAAACCAAGAATGTTACTCCTCTTGGCAGGATAATCCCCTGATAAACAAATCTAGAATGATCTTCGAGGTGGTGTACTCCTTGTATTCATTTTCCAATACTCCAGTAAAAACAGAAATCATCAATGATGCAAAAAAATATTAGAGCCTATTTTGATAAATTTCTCCATAAGCAATTCTAGGAGAAAAAAATAAGAAGAAAAAATGAAAGAAATTTCTTCAAAAGCTAAAATTAGCTTATGCACAAGCTAAGCTGTAGAAATTCTCTCATATAACTTCTCCAAAAATTGGAAATTATCTTGTGGATTAACTAGTTTTAACTCAGAAAGAAACTTTTTAAATTTTTCCTTAATATTTTTTTTTTCTCCAAGAAGTCTTCAGGAGAAGTTTATCCATTGTCCCTTAATAACATAAAGCACTCTTAAAGAGTATTCATAACCCCAAACATAAAACCCTAGTATATCATGATTTTAGTCAAATAACACAAGGATCCTAGACAAGTCTCAATTAAATAAAATCCCCTAACGAGCACAAGAGTCCTTCTACATGCTCCCTCCGTTCAACATCACAACAACAAAAATCCTCGGTAACTTAAAAAACAATGAAGAAAAGTAACGTACAATTCTGGCGGCAAAGACATTGCATAGCTGCGGAGCCTGGTAAATAGAACCGTCAAGGACGTAATAGGCGAGCATAGGAGTAACCTTGTCGGGGCTATCTCTCTTCTGCTTGCGAATGACGAAGAGGTGCGGCTCCATAACTTCGCTCAGCACGTACTCCGTGCCCGTCATCTTCCTGAAGAGGATTCAAGAATCAATCGATAGCGACGAAGTGAATGGAGAAGGGAATTAGGGTTTGCTAGTTACGAGAGCTGAGAGAGGTCGAGGGGGTGAACGGAGCGCATGCGGAGCTGCTCGTTGTTGCAGGTCCAGTCGTAGAAAGGGGAGAGCGCGAAGTAATCGAACACCAAGTTCCGATCCAGAATGAAGCTGTTCAGCCATAGCTGGTCCCGGAAGCATATTCCGGTCATGTCGGTTCCCGGAGGCTGCGCCACCGCTCCTCCCTCCATCATTGCGTTTCCCGGCGCCGCCGCCATCTTCCACTCACTCCCCAATTCAATCTCTTTGTTTTTGTGTGGGGTTACGTTACGACTTTAAAATAGGATTTGGGCCGGGCCGGGCCGAAGGGATACGCGTTACCCAGCAGCGAAGGCCCAATAATTTGATTCTTCTCTTTCTCCTCTGCGGACTGCGGCAACGCCACCACGCTGGTTCAGCACAATGAGAAGCATTCGGCAGCGTGGGTTTTCGACATTGCTTCCCATACCTCACCGAACCATCCCCGAGGCTCGAGGTCAGGATCTGGACTTGATAACCGTAGCCCACAGCCACGTGATCCACTCCCACTGGCACAAGCTCCACTCTCTCTCACTCTCACTCACACCCTTCCGTCTCGCACACCTCCTCCTGGCCCTCCAAAACGACCACGTTTCGTCCCTGAAACTCTGGAACTGGGTCCTCCAACATAGCCCCTCCTCTCACACCCTCCAATCCCTCTCCATCGTCGCCCACACCCTCGCCAAACACCGCCAATTCAAAACCCTGCAAAGAATCCTCTCTTCGCACCCCCCCTCCACCCTCTTCGATTCCCTTTTACACACCTACCGTCTCTGCCACTCTTCCCCTCTCGTCTTCGACTCCCTCTTCAAAACCCTCGCCCACACCCACAAGTTCCGAGACGCCACCCGCGTTTACGTCCTCATGAAGGAACACGGCTTCTCCCCCACCGTCGAGTCCTGCAACGCCTTTCTAAGCTCTCTCCTCTCTCTTCGCAGACCCGACATTGCTCTCTCGTTTTACCGCGAAATTCGTCGTTCTCGCGTTTCGCCTAATGTCTACACTCTCAACATGGCTATGCGCGCTTATTGCATGTTGGGGGAACTCAATCGCGCTCTTGAAATTTTGCACTCCATGACGGATATCGGTTTGAGGCCCAATGTTGTGTCTTTTAATACTTTGATTTCGGGGTGTTGTAACAAGGGCTTGTTTGGAATGGCGTTAAAGGTCAAGTCTTTGATGGGGGAACATGGAGTGCAGGCTAATGTGGTTACTTTTAACGCTCTTATTAATGGGTTTTGTAAGGAGAGGAAGCTGCATGAGGCGAATAGGGTTTTCAGTGAGATGAAGGTTGCCAAGGTGGTTCCCAATGTTGTGACTTTTAATACTTTGTTGAATGGGTATGGTCAGGTTGGGGACAGTGAAATGGGGAGTAGGGTTTATGAGGAGATGAAGAGAAATGGGGTTAAGGCTGATATATTGACTTATAATGCGTTGATTTTGGGGCTGTGTAAGGAGGGGAAGACGAAGAAAGCTGCGGGGTTGGTTAGGGAGCTTGATAAGGAGAACTTGGTTCCCAATGCGAGTACTTTTTCTGCTCTTATTACTGGGCAGTGTGTGAGGAACAACTCTGAGCGTGCGTTTCTTGTTTATAGAAGCATGGTGAGGAGTGGTTGTTGTCCAAATGAGAAGACTTTCCAGATGTTGATATCTGCCTTCTGCAAGAATGAGGACTTTGATGGGGCTGTGCAGGTTTTGAGGGACATGTTGGATAGATTGATGAGTCCTGATTCCAGTACCTTGTTTGAGCTCTATGATGGACTTTGCAGGTGTGGGAAAAATCAGTTGGCATTGCAATTGTGTAGTGAGATGGAAGCTAGGCGTCTGTTGCCAGAAGGTTTTGACAAAGATAAAATAATCATTACCCTTCCACAAAATGAGAAAACTAACTGAACTAGTCAACTTTTACTCGCCACGTATCATCTTTCAAAGACAACCTTGTTCCAGACATTGAATATGATACTTCTTTAAACGGAAATTTGATTCTTAGTTTTCTTTCTTGTGAGAGACTAATTCTTTCCGGTAGACCCAACATCCGTTTGTACTTGTCTGGTTGTTGTGAAGCTGTACATTACTTGCTTAACCTGTTGGTTCTGCCTTGTTGCATTCACTAAAGTCTTGAAGTTTCATTGTAAAGAATGTTCCATTGAATCAACCACAAAAGATACATATTTAGAAATTGAGCTGTATTTGTTCCGATTGATGCTCAAGTTGTAATTCATTACTAATAATATGAAAAGTCAGTTAGTTAGTTGAGGGCTAGAGGCCTGGACCTCTTGAATACCCAAATATTCTTTTTTTGTAGAGATACATTTGGTCAATAAATAAATTGTCTTTCTTCCATTCCTGATCCGGTTTCTATCATACTATGCAATAGTTATTGTTCTAAATCAACTTACCATCAATCACAGACTATATAGTACATAAAAAAGTGTACTATCGTTTTATATGAAACTTCCTTCTTCCAACTTATGATGAGGCAACCACGTAACTGTCCTATAATGTGAAGAAAAAAGAAACTGATAATGAATGTGCTTGATCACAAGAGAGCTCCGCCATTTATGAGTCTTCGTTACCGAGATCTCCCCATCTTACATTGTGTCTTGCAGCAAGGTAATGTGCTCCAACTGGTCCTCTGCTACCATAGGGGTAGAGCTCTGGAGCAATCCTCTTGTTTTCAATTTCTTTTAGCAGAGGGGTGAATAGTGCCCAAGCTGCATCAAGCTCATCACTTCTAATGAACAGCCTTCGCTCGCCTTCAATAGCATCTAAGAGTAACCTCTCATATGCATCTGGAATCTCTCTTGGATACCTTCACAGAAATTGAAAGTTGTATATTAATGCCCTTATCAAACAATTTTTGTACCTCCTCCAAATATCACGATCATTCTTAGCTGATGGAATTTATAATATTGTTAATGTAGAAGGAAATTTCAAAACAGAGACAAATGGTTAACAAAGATCAACACAGTAGCTTCTATGGAAAAGCTTTATTGGATACCTTCATTTTGAAAAAGAAAAAAAAACCGTGGCCACTGACTGAACTAACTAGATTAACATTTTAACTCTCACTTTATGTTTTTATCAACAATTTTTACATTTGAATTTAATTCTGTCAACTGTATGCAGAACACTCCTAGAAGATCTTATACCTTGCTCGGAAAAGCAAATTTAGGTCACTTCTGTCTAATCTCATTCCCAGACCAGGAACTTTATTGTTGATCTTCAAATATATAGCTTCATCAGGTTGTACACGAAGCACAAGCTCATTTGTAGCCTTGTCCAGATCGGTTCCAAAGTTCCTCTTGTACAAGTTGCCTGGGACATGTCTGAATTGTACTCTGATTTCTGCACTGGATACATTTTTGTTGTTGGAATTTTTGTAATAATTCCAAAGAATGCACAGAAAATTCTAAGACATAATAACATATCTAAATAAAGAAGAAACATTGCACACCGTTTAGTATGGAGAGCCTTGCCAGCTTTCATGAGAAAAGGAACCCCATCCCATCTGGCATTGTCAATAAAAAGAGCTGCTGCTGCAAATGTTGGGGTAAGACTACCCTTTGGAACAGTTGGATCATCTGTATAACCAGGATATGATTTACCACCCTTGCTGTGGCCCTTATACTGACCAACAACAACATTTTCAAGCTGCAGTGGTCTCATTGATCTCAGAACCTTCACCTGAGTTGAGACCATTCTCAGTAATCACTGAACATCATTATATTTGCTGAAATCTTTCCGTAAGATTGTAGGATATTTAGGAGGACTGAATTGAAACAGTAATAAAATATTATTATTATTATTATTTAGGTCTACTATGGATAGACAGAGGAGATGTACCTTCTCATTTCTGATGTCCTCAGCAGCCAAGCTGACAGGTGTTTCCATTGCAAACAATGCTAATATTTGCAGAAGATGATTTTGCATTATATCACGGATGATTCCGTAGTTATCAAAATAACTAAAGAAAAGCACAAAGACTGTTTAATTAGTTGTGTGAATTGTCACATATTTCTTTGGAATACCATCAAGAAACATATATGACATAACAATACATACTCACCCCCCTCTTCCCTCTGTTCCAAAATCTTCAGAAAATATTAGCTGCACATTGCGAATGTAATTCCGGGACCATAGAGGCTCGAAAACAAGATTTGAAAAGCGAAGCACTGAGAGATTCTCCACGAGCTCCTTGCCCAAGTAATGGTCAATCCTAAAGTATTTCCAATGAGTCCAAGTTTTTCACTTTAGCTTGTTAAAATAGAAAAGAACCAAATTCACCTGAATATTTGGTCTTCAGTGAGGTACTGCTTCAAACATTTTGTTAGCTCACTAGATGATTCTGAGTCTCGACCAAATGGCTTTTCAACAATAACCCTTGTCCATCCATCTTTTGAAGAAGCTTTAAGGCTAGCGCATCTCACCACATCAACAAATATATTTGGAGGTATTGACAAATAAAACAATCTGTTTGATAATTTTCCACCCTAGAAGAGACCATTGTCAAATATATCAGTGATCAGTTCCTAGACAGACATCTTCCATGAAGAATTTGATCTTTGTTTGCATGAACAATAGATTAAGGAAATATAAAATGCCTTAAATTTTATGACAGATAATAGAACCCTTTTGTAGCACTACAGTTTTAATTTTCAAATCATAATCTGTTCTAAAGGTTTTTGCACCCTATTCTGAATAGAAGAAAGATCTCCAAAAACCCAGCAGTCAGGTCAGGTTTTGAAGGAATATTGAATTTTATGAAAAAGTAACTGGAGTTCCTTTTTCTGAGGCCAGTTCAACATCCAGGGCTACCTTGAGAAAGTAATTGTGACACAGCTTAGTAGAAGAGATTCGTGTTTAGGGGTATTTCAGTTTTATAAACATATATGTTAAATTTGAGAAACAAATAGCATACAAGATCAGATAACATGATTTATCATGCATTACTTTAATAGCGTCTTTGCTTCTGGTAGAAAATGTCTTCCAAAATTATTTTCATTTTTCATTTTCTGATGGATTGTGATAGAGCATTGAAGAAGATGGAAACATATTACCTCTTTCTCTCTCAGCTTGCTATCCAGTTCTAAGAAGTGTTCCTCAGAATTGTATTGGCCAGAATGGTAAAAGCATCTTTTTAAGAACTGATCCATTTTATCTTCGCAATTTTCCCTGCAAGTTTAAACTTGTATCTTTATACATAAAATGAAAGGAAGTGTTGGAAAAGTACAATGTCAGGTTTAATATCATGTTGGCACAATAACATAAAAGCTAAATTCTACAAATGTGTTTTATTGATAGACTTGAGAAAAGATAAAAGTGGGGAAAAAAAAGTTCATTGAATTTTATCAGTTATGGGTTTACTTTTTAAACCTTACTCCTCTTTCTCTTCCACAATGACTGGTTACAAGATTGTACCAAATAGTATTGCTGCATTGACATTTACCTCTTATCAATTCTGCATGTTAAAGTTTTGCTAATCATATTCCTTAATTCCTCATTGGTCATTTTAGTCCGAGCAAATCCAAACACGAGAAAATTCTGCATAAAGATTACAACCATACAGACTCAAAACATAATGTTTCAAAACATTTAAATTATATAAAATATCCTCTATTCCTCAACGTCTAAGCATCATTTCCAAATGAAACTAAATAATATGACAAGTCAGACCTCAGGTAGCCAATCTTCGTAAAAAAGAGCAAAGAGTGCCGGAAAAATCTTCTTTTTAGCAAGGTCTCCAGAAGCTCCAACAACAGTTATAGTAAGGTTGGATCCTTTGGATTCTGAGTCTGACAAGGGAAATAATCCTTCGAGTGATTGGGGCTTGATATCTTCTTTGGCCAATGAACTTGCAGCTAAACCTACTTAATATGTGGATAATATATGACTTTAGCTAAGCTTAACAAATTTAATGAAGTATAAGTGCACAAGAAGTCAGTAGTCATATAAACACTAGAATAAACAAAGTAATGGGACTGCAACATAATATGATTTCAGCGCCATAGGACGAAATAAAATATACTTTACCTAAAAAAGTACATGATTATTGGAATTAATATAATTCATAGATTCAATCTTGAATTGAAGCTTTAATTAAAATGGCACTATACTTTAGTACATGGGGGCAACAAGAGACCAAGAAGCTAAGGGAAGCAACATGTAGTGATCCCTTGGCAATAAGAAATGCGGATTTCCTAACTAGAGAAATATCAAAATAGTAAAAGTTGAAGAAAACAACACATTTTCTCTCAATATGAAGTCAAGCCCAAGTCTAGTCAGAATTTTCGGTATGATTTGAATTTTGCACTGATATAAGCAAATAATATACCTAGGTTGTGCAACATAATTGAGGTATGAGAATTGAAAGTGATAAGAGGGAAAATCAAGATGAATGCCTAAGGGGAGAAGCTTCCACACAAAAAGAATATAGTCTGAAGTTTTTTTCTGAACAACAAATTGAATACCAAATCCAGGGAATTCAGGAACAAAGTTTGTTGTCTGTGAAACAAGTATGACTAGATAGTGCATTCAATGTTATATCAGCTGGCTTAAAACCAGAACATGTTAGTGGTTTAGACTCTAGACAAGGTGAGTATATATTATCTACCATTTGGCTTGATCAGGAAGACCAAGTTTGTGCACTTAAGTCAGTCAATCAATCAAAGAACCAAGAAATATGACTTTCGTCAAAAGACTACAAACCATGTGTGAGAAGGGCAGGAAGTTGAAGAATAGATGTTCTCTACAATGAAATTAAATTTCACTAGGATAACAAAGCCCATTAAGGAACCTCTTAAATCATAACCCTACTCCAACCAATGTGCGACAATTTTCGTTGAAAATAGTAATCATTGGCCACAGGGAAGACCAATTGCTTGATCAAGCAACAAGGCATGAGCAACCATTTCAATCCAGCTAAAAATCAGCTACATAATAAATACAGCCTAAGAACAATAAAAACCAGATCAAGTAAAAG